TATATTAATTTCAGGTAAATTTTGCAAAAACAATAAAAAAAAATACTTGTACAATCCACTTTATGCAGTGAAGATACATTCTGAAACTTTTGCAATGACTTAAATAAAATCACGTGTCTTCTATAAATTGAATCACTACTTTTTAGCATCATTCCGATAATATTTTTTACCACACTTCAACACCAATACGTTTCCACTTTTTGTATAATTGTATTCTTTACCGAAAAAAATTAGTTCCTACTGAGAGAAACGTATTTTTAGATTATACATTCGAGATGCCAACGAAAACATATTACCAAATGTGCTCAGTATATATTAAAATATGCATATATAAAACTTCGAATCTTATGAATGTTAACAAAAGTTATTATCAAGGAATATTACAATTTTTTTATTGAGATATATATTTTGACTTTCTTAATCTAAATTGCACATTCGATTGAATTATTTCGACAACTTTTTTCCCATTTAAAACTAAAATCTTCGGGTACAAGACAACCAGAATACTACATAATCAAACACAAACTGAAATACATAAGAACTTAGCAATGTTATCTATTGGGACAACAACATAAGGATAGTTTATTGCCAACATTCTTCTGTTGTTGATATTTCTGATCACAGAAGCTTTGTATTCTCGTCCACAAAGAACAACCATGTACATATTGCACAACCTAAATATAATTGGAGGATTTAGGAAGTATTAATTATTTATCTTTAAAACAAAAAAGTTATATCTTTATATTATAACGGAGACCGGATAACAAAGGTTAATTGTTCGAAAAAAGATATGAAGTAATTAAAAAACTCAATTAAAAAAAAAAAAACAAACCAGAACTCACATTTATTTATGTAACAATGCTACATATACAATTTATTATACAATAATACAATGAGGTACCGAAAACTTCATATACAACATATATGTGATGAGGAAGCATATTACATTTCTTCCTTCACATATAAAGCACAGTCTAATAATTTATTACGAAAATTACATATTTTTGATTTTATTGATTTCAAAAAATTTTACGTTTTCGTATATAGACGATTTTTGTTGGGCAAATATAATGAAAATAGCAGAATATTAGTTAACCAAAGATTAAAAGATTTAATTATATTTTAACTTATCCCAAAAATATATGCAACAACCGTAATTCAATTTGAAGATTTTGAAATCCCCATTGTAAATTTAACTAGAAATTTTTTCTATAAAACCATTTGTGACATAAATCTCCCAAAAACTATAATAAAAATAATAAAACTATATTTCATTCGCCACAACAAAATTTATTATATGTAATTATAAAATGTAACATTTTCTAATTAATAATTAAGATTAAAATTATGTAAATAAACTAAGGTCTTAAATTGAACGATGTGTGCGCAGCTCAAGAGAGATGTAGTGCTATTTTATGATAGTCAGGTTTGAGTCGTTTAAATCAATGGCCACAAACTAAAAATATCCATATAATTATACAACGACGAACGAAACGATAAGAAATAATAGACATTCGCTTGATACAAAAGTTATAATGTTTATGAATATTTAAACAATATTTTATACAATTAAACGGATATTATACACATTTTAAACATTAAGTAGTGTTTCTTCGTGTAAATTTCTATCAATGCACACATGCAGTATTTGAATTTCCTCAATCCGACCTCTGTTAACAACCTATGGTATACTTTTATCACCCACTTATTGTAGTTGTTCTTCTTTCCTGATCAAGTGATATTGATTATATTGCACAAGATTTTTCAAATATCTTTTTTACAATAAATACAAACTTATTGTAAATATTGATAACAAAAAGAAATATGTTTACAAAATGGTTTATTGTTCGGATTCACCAATTATACTAGGTTATGTTATATTCTCTTTCCTTCACTCTTACCTTATTAAACACAATAAAAAACAAATATATATAGCTTTCAAAGCTTTTATAATGCTTTAAACTAATCACTTTTGATATATATTTTATTCTTTGAACAATTTTCTTTAATCTTTACAAAAAAATTGCGACTTTAAACACGTGTCTAGAGTATTTTCTTTCATACACACAATAACAATATGGCCGGCGTACAAAATTTCCAATACATATTTCGAAAAATGCTGCCACTTTGCGCAATTGGAAATAAATTAATCCGTGCGATTCTGTACTGTGATACAGTATCAAGTCTCTAAATTTGACAGAGACAATTTTTGAGACTTGAGACGATTTTGCTATTCTATAAGTGATAGTCACAAACTCTTTTACATTTCATTATTCAGAGATGTTTTTATACTTGAATGAAAATAACAAATATTAAATTTTCTATAACATAGTCAAAAAAC